GGGGGCGGGGGGAAGGAAGAGGAGGAGGAGGAAGGAGGAGGAGGAGGAGGAGAGCAAACCAGAAGTATCTGAGCTTGGTGACTTGTTCTTACAATCCTAGCACTGGGGAGTTGGAAATAGGTAAATCCCTGAATTATACTAGCCAGCCAGTCTAGCCTACTTGATGAGTTCCAGAGAAGTGAGAGAACCTGCTTCAAACAGACACAACAACAGTGAGGGAACCTGAGAAACAATGCCTAAATTTGACATCAAGACACAAGAACCTGGAAATTTCAGAGCGTGCCATCTGGACTCTAGTCCATACCTATAACAGGAAGATAGGGAGGCACAGGAGTTTGTTGTTTCTAGACAGCCATTCCCATTATTCTAAGTTTTTCTTTTTATGGCTTCAGGTCCCTGGTATCAACTGAAGTCTGTCATATCTTCCTTGCAAAGACAGACTACGTACCCTCATATTGTGAGCCACATGAACCCTTTCCTACTTAGTGACTGCACAAGAAAAGTAACTAACATGACAGCTCATGGCCTAGAAGAATATTCATACCTGAAGCACGGGAGGCACCGATCATCCTTGATCTAATGAGACCCTCTCTCTTTTTGTTTCTTATTAATTTAATCTTTCCTCGAAAAAGTTCCAGATGATAGTCCAATTTTTCTTTCAAATCATCTAGAAAAAATATTTAATACTTACCAATTTTAAGCTGCAACTATATAAATTCAAACATTGTCATTATGACCAATTTATAAAAAAAACACTATTGTACAAATTTTAATGTGGCCCTGGTTAGCCTCAAATCCACAAGAAAAGTGGTTCATAATCAAACTCTATAATTTTTGTGCTTCTAGTGACATACCTCTACTTTACTACACCATCATTAAAATTTAATAGAAAAAGTAAAGGTTATAAAGTTTGTGATATAACTTGGTTTTACTACTAAGTACACAAGTTTTACTGTGATTAATTTTGTAGTGGCTTGAAGGTAAATTATCAAAGCAAGCAAGTTCAAGAGCTGCCTGCACCCATCCCCTCAAGCTAAGTAACTCCATTGGCACTATCTGTGGGCATGTTCAGGAAAGACAGATTTCAGTTCAAACTTTGTTACACAATTCATGATAAAGTCATTCTGAATTAAAGTAAGGAATATATTGATCCTGAATTCTATTGGAACACAACACCCTGTGTTTGAGGCTCTACATGAATCCAAGGAGTGATAGAGATGACTGGTTTGCAGCACATGAGGTCTTGACCACCAGTAGCGACCCTCTTAGTTTCTTATGAAGGGGATTAAAATGCAATATGTATAAATATAAACAGGTCAATAGAAGTCATGAACTGAGTGTGAGTGTCCACCAGCTCCAAATGCATAGCGCAAAACCACCCATATGATAGCATCTAGGAGCAGGGACTTGGGAAGTACTAGATCATGAGGATGGAATCCCATGAATGGAACTTATAGGAGGAGGCCCAAGAGTTCACTTGGTCCAAAGAAGATGGAGCAAAAGGGCACCAACCTAAAAAGCAGAAAGAATGCTGTTATCAACAGCCTGGTCTTGTTGGCACCCTGGTCTCAGATTAGTGTTTGTTGCTCAAGCCACCTTGTCAAACTGACAAGAGACCAACATGTATCTAGATTCTTGATGCTGTGCTGAAAGGCTGGCAGACATGGTCATTCCTGAAACTTTGTGCCCACTGTGGGATTTTTGAACTTCTGAATAAGAAAGCAAAACTCCTCTGGCCAGCAGTTACATCTGCACCCTGCACCCAGCAAGCTGTAGACATACAACAGATAAGGTAGTATGAGGGAAGAAAGAAGCACCCACTCAATGTACAAGACACAGTTGGTGATGATTCCTATGGAAATGTTATGTTATAGGCACCTGGACAAATCATTTAACTTCCAAACATAGTAACATCAGCTTGGGTCACACCTGGAGCAACCTAATGTCACTCCCATAGGGTGACCCTCCTGGAATGTCTTTTCTTCTCAACATACCTTTTTCCTTTCAAGTTCATCATAGACTAGTTTCCTAGTGGGTTGGGTGACTTTGCAGGCCTGAAATCTACCTAATATTGACATCATTATCTGGGCACTCTTGGCTTGCCTAACGTTGATACTCAGTTGTAAAAAGTCAACCAATTTCAAAGTCTAAGCATAGGTAACTAGACTTTTGTTCTAGTATCCTTATTCTATCTTAAAAAGCAAGCATAGAGGAATCATTACTTGTAGTAGGTTCAAGTTCTTTCCTGTGAAGTATCTAAATGAGGTCATCTCCCTATGTTAAATCCTCACTTGCTCTCTGTATCCATCCATTCATTCATTCCTTAGTTTTAAACAGGGTGGCTGCTCAAAATGTTCTCATATAGCTCAGATTGGCTTTGAACTTCCTTTGTAGTCAAGGATAATCTTGATCTCCTGATCCTCTACTTCCGCTCCCTGGTGCTGGGATTGGAGCTGTACACCACCACTCCCAGTTTAATGCAGGGTTGTGGATTGAATCCAAGGCTTATGCATGCTAGGCAAACACTCCACCCACTGAGCTACATAGCCATTGCTCCCCATGTTCTTGGGAGAAAATTCCAAAAATGCCTTTCCTGAGTAGTCCCTTTTAAATAACTCCAGCTTTATGCCTTTCCCTGAATCCATCCAACTCCATACTCATAAAATCATAACTTTGTAAAATTCAGAACTATTCTATGCTCACCCTGTTTTGTCTCATCTTGGGGCTTTAAGGTACTGTTTCTTCCACCTAAAACATCTCTTCTTCCTGGCCATTTGGGCAACCCCAGCCTATCTTTGCCTTTTCCATTTAGATGGCATTTCTTTCTTATGCCATTGCTAAAGTCAAGGCAAACCCTCTGTGCTGAGCTCATGGAGCCATCATGACAGGGTCTGGATCAATCTTTCCCACAATATGCAGTGAGTGCTTCAGGTATAGCATCTCCCTCAACAGCTACCAGAAATATCCTCTGTGTAAAACATATACAAGCCAGGCACAGTGAAGCATGCTCATGGATTCAGCACTTTGAAGACAGAGGCAAGAGAGTCAACAGTTCAAGGTGGGACTACATGAGACCATTTCTCCAAAGCAAAAACAAATCTCAAGTATTTCTAGAGAAAAATGCCACCTTACAAATAGACAGCCAGTATTTGTCTCACCAGTATCACTCATGTCATCAACCAAAATGATTTCTTCAAGGAAATGAGATGGAGTGAGGTTTATAACACTAGACACTGTCCGCAGCAAGGTGTTAAATTCTTCATTATGAAAGCATATGATGATGCTGGCAGTGGGTAGATTGAACGGATAGTGTTTCTGATGGCATCTGCAAGAAAAATAGGGAGAGAATTAGTCATCCAAAAGCCTCAAGTGTTCTGGGGCCTTCTGCAAATGCTGATTCTTACTTTTGCTTTCTTTGCTTTAGTAAACATTAGGTCAGTATAATGATAGTATGTTAAAAAATATAAAAATTAACAAACAAAATGTTCTTAAATTTTTAAAAATTATTTCATGTACGTGTTGTCTGCATCTATGTGCGCATACACATGTACATACAAGTGCCTGTGGAGACCAGGAGAGGGCATTAGATACCCCAGAGCTGGAGTTAGAGGCTGTGCGTGGTGAGCTGCCTGACACGGGTGCCGGGAATCAAATTGGTCCACTTTTAACTACAGAGACATCTCTCCAGTCTGTCCTTAAATTCCTTATTTTTAGCCTTCATTTATTTTGTTTTGTGTGGGGGTAAGGGGATCTGTGTGCATGCCATGGCGGGCATGTGAGGTGGTAGTACAACCTACAGGAGCCAGGTCTCTTCCTGGCCTTCAGTCTCACATGGGGGTCAATCTCAGTGTGAGATGCCACCTTGCTGGCCCCATTTCAATTCTTTTTTTGTTTGTTTGTTTGTTTTTCAAGGCAGGGTTTCTCTGTGTAGCTATGGAGCCTATCCTGGCACTCACTCTGAAGACCAGGCTGGCCTCGAACTCACAGAGATCCGCCTGCCTCTGCCTCCCGAGTGCTGGCATTAAAGGCGTGTGCCATCAATGCCCGGCCAACCCCGTTTCAATTCTTATACTCTTCTCACACTTGGAATTATTTTCCCCTTTATAATTGCTCTTTCTTGACATTCTATTTTGATAATTTTAGATCTACTTTAAAGATAATATAAAACATTATATCCATATATTGGTGTCTTTTCTAAAAGTGGTGTTCTAAATTCATGGAAAGATAACTTCAAAGTAAATTCACAGTACTGTGTTCTTTGCTTTGCTTTGGGAGTTTTATTATTATATTTGTGACACCTGCTGTGGTCAAGCATTGTAGTGGAATTGATGAACTACATGTCCTCCATGTACTGGCAAAGGTCATATTATTTTTGTGTTCCCACAAGTAAAAAACAAAAGATGAGATCTAATATAATATTGTTTGGCGCTAACCTCAGCAAAGTAGAAGGGAGTATATTGTAAGGTGACCCAAATACCTTCCAAGACCTATTTAAAGGAAGACAGCTGGACTCTCAAGGAAATAATGGCATCAGAAGGCTGAGGGCCATCTGGAATGTTCTCTATCACTTTAGCAATAGTGATTGGGGTGATAACTAAATACAGCCTACCAAAAAAGTTAAGATTTAGTGAGTTCATAGGTAGTGAACTCAGTTCAGAACAGTGCCTGGCATATAGTAACTATTCTACACAAGGCTCAACCTGTCACCTGTTGTCTGGCTTGTTTCTATTTCCTTAATGCCACAGAGTGGGAAATATGCTGGATATCAGCCTGTCTTTGGGTTTTTGTTTATAAGTCATATCTAACTATGTAAATTTGGCTGGTCTGGAACTTGCTATGTTGATCAGGCTGCCCATGAACTTGCAGAGATCTGCCTGCCACTGCTTCCAGAGTGCTAAGATTAAAGGTGTGTAAAACCACACCAGCATCCAGTATAATTCAGAAGGACTTTCTTTTTCCCATCAACAAAAATTCATTGATTCGGGCTGGAGAGATGGCTCAGAGGTTAAGAGCACCGACTGCTCTTCCTGAGGTCCTGAGTTCAATTCCCAGCAACCACATGGTGGCTCACAACCATCTGTAATGAAATCTGGTGCCTTCTTCTGGTGTGCAGATGTATATGGAAGCAGAATGTTGTATACATAATAAATAAAATCTTTATAAAAAATTCATTGATTCATATTGGCTCAGTGGCCACTCTGGAGTAATTAACTAGGGCCAGACAAGTGAGGTGGAAAGAATAAAATCATCATTCCCACTGCAATCATGTGAGGGAGAACTACTTCCTGGACAATTCCAGGGCAGGAGGGCCTGGGCAGATGAGCCAGTAGGAATTTCAGTGTGTGTACTTGCAGGATAAACATGGATGAAGGCATCTTTAAAGGAGAGTGTTTATCATGACCAACATGGTTAGCCCAATGGGTGGCACTACAGAAAGTTCAGCGGCTGAGTGAGAGCTGGCGCCATGCTCAAAGGAATGGAAACCATGTGAGGTAGCAACCAGGCAAAATCCTGTGTGGTGTGCAAGCCCACCATCTGCACCCGAATGGATATGACCCAAGAGCACAGCTTAGAAGCCAAAATGAATGATGAGATGACACCAAACTGAAAACCTTCTGCATGACAAAAGAAGTGACCAACAGGATGAAGAGATAACCTTCAGAATAAGCAAAAATACTTGCAAACATACATCTGACTAGGGTTTGAGAGCCAGATTGCTTATTGCTAGAGTAAAAAATTAACAGAGTGCTCTTCTAGCTCTGGGTTAAATCTCAGGACTACTTAAAACTGGGCATAGTGGTGCACACTTGAAAACTGGAGGTAGGAGAATACACAAGACCCTGTATTTAAAAAAAAAAAAACAATACTGACTAATAGGACTTTTTCAAAAGAAAAAAGTAGTCAATAGATATATGAAAAATAGTCAATAAGATAAAAATTTCAATGCCACTAATCATCAGGGAAATGCAAATTAAAATTCTGATGAGATTTCAACTCACATCTGTTAAAATGGTTATCAAAATCATGAGAATGTGGAGGAAGATTAGTACAGGCATTGTGGAGGACACAACCCGACAACTCTGGGCTTAGACGTAAACAGGTGTAAATCCATCCTATACAAGAGGTATCTTTTGCCGGGCGTTGGTGGCACACGCCTTTAATCCCAGCACTCGGGAGGCAGAGGCAGGCGGATCTCTGTGAGTTTGAGGCCAGCCTGGTCTCCAGAGCGAGTGCCAGGATAGGCTCCAAAGCTACACAGAGAAACTCTGTCTCAAAAAAAATAATAATAAAAAAAAACAAGAGGTATCTTTCCTCATACTATTGAAGATATGAAATCAACCAAAGTGCCCATCAGTTGATGAATGAATAAATATATGCACACAATGGAATGCTAGATGAATGAATAAATATATGCACACAATGGAATGCTAGATGAATGAATAAATATATGCACACAATGGAATGCTAGATGAATGAATAAATATATGCACACATGGAATGCTAGATGAATGAATAAACATATGCACACAATGGAATGCTAGATGAATGAATAAATATATGCACACAATGGAATGCTATTGGGCCTTGAAAGTTCAGGGGCTGGTGAGATGGTTCCTTGAGTAAAGGGACATGATGATCTGAATTGATCCTTTGGCTCCACATAGTAAAAGAAGAGAACCTCTGACCTCCACGCTAACCTGTGTTATGTGCATACGTATACCTGCACACATACAAATAAATAAATACAAACTTTTAAGACAGGATGTTCAGTTATTCACCACAATATAGATAGACCTAGAGGAGCTGGAGTAAAAATAACACAGGAGGGAGAATTGTCTTCCCCAGAGATATCCACCCCAAATGGTTATCTAACCCACATGATTAGTCAAATGTATGTGATGAACCCACTTAGAGTTTTAGCATGTGTATTTACATATATGCACATACATACATACATACATACATACATACATACATACATATGTATGTATGCCTACATACATATGTATGCCCATATATATGACTGACCACTTGGGGGTTGGATAAACCATTTGGGGTACATATCTCTTGGGAAGACTATTGTCCCCTTCTCTGTAGTTGTTATTGCCTCTAGCTCTTATTTAGGGATAAGTGCAGTTTTGATTTCCCCCATCCATGTCGACATGCCCCTGGTATTGTCATTGTTCAGGTCTTGCTTAAGCAGCCATATTTCAACTTTGTTTTTTTCTAACAAATAATTATGTGATGGAAGAAAGGAACCAAGGTAGATACACTATTTTAGGTAAGATTTAGGGAAAAATAATAACATGGAGAGAAATTTACAATTTATTGGAATTAAAATATTGATCTTTGTGGTATTTAAGTCTTAACTTGATTTAAAGATTGTCTTTCAAATTAAATTAATACCATGTTATAGTTTAAGGAAATTGAGATTATTTCCCTTTCTTTTTTGTTTTGTATGGGGAAAAGGAGACATGTAGCTGAGCATAACCTCACACTTCTTATTCTCTTGCCTCCACCTCTCAACACTGAGGTTACAGGCATTCACTGCCACTCTTGATTTGTGTGTTGCTGGGAGCAAACCCTGGGCCTTGCCTGTGCCAGGCAAACCCTTGAGCTGCACTACAACCCCAGCCCATTTGTTTCCTTTTATTATGAGTCAGTTACACTATGTCATTATGTGCAAACACTCCATCTCTTGAGTGTGCCCAATCACAAGTGGTGTTCATGGCTTCAAATGCGTGTGTTGCAACTCATATGCAGTATGGCCCACTTTCCAATGTCCTGGACTGTGGCATTACTGGAGAGTGTGTGTTTTCCTTAGCTTGAAAATGTTTCTTTTAGCTAATAGGAATTGACAATCTTTTCCAGGAAATTATTGGAACCTAAATGATACTTAAAAGGCATCAACAAACATGATACTGAACAGATGAACCTCAAGAACATTGCACTAAATGAAATAAGCTGCTTCTCCAAAAGACAAGTTCTGTATGCTTTTACTGTTTTGAGGTCTCTGGGGTGGTCAAATTGGTAGATGGGTTAAGTAGATTAGGGGGAAATCTACTTAAAGGAGGGGGTGCAGATTTTCAGTTCAGACAGTTCTATGGCTACTTACCACTATGGCTGTGCTTAGTGCTGCTGAATTAATTGTTCACTAGAAAATTTTAACATAGCCATTCTATATGCCTTTTACCATAATTAACGTAAACATAGATAATTGAAGGCCTGATGAAAATGAATCAGACTATGAAGAAAAAGATAGGTAGGTATCCAAAGCCTTTCTATTGGGAATTAATGCTTTGGCCAGCAGCCCTCACTGGTGACTGAGTAAAAACCTCGAGGGATTTATTTACTCTTCAAAACCTCTAGAACATATTCTGCCAGGGGGGAAGGTGTTTTCCACACCATAAACATTAGAATCTTGACATTGTCTGACTTAAGGCCCCCCAAACAGGAATTTATACTACAAGATTTCTAATTGCTAAAATTCAAGTCTGGTTAGAACATACATTTTATCCCTGGAATCTGGCACCTCTCTCTGGATGCCCAGTCTTCTACTGATAACAACATTAAGTCCATATTGTGCAAATCCTTTGTAAAATTCTGGGTCTGAAAAATAAGTCTTATCTGCAAGAAAAGGTAGTTTGAGTCACACTGATGCAAGAAATAAGCACAGCCCTATCCTGAAGTTTCTGAAGCAGTCATTTTCTTGGACTCTAAACTACCCCCAGAAAACAAAGTTAAAGGTGGAAACCCAAATCATTTACAGAAACCAAAGCTGACGTCTTAGGAAAGTGTGTCCAACTTGCTTACTTTTCCTTTTTATGCAGTCCAGGGAATGCTCACCCCTCCCTTCCTCCTTCCCTCCCCCACCTCTCTCTTCCCTCTCTTCTCTCTCCTCCCTCTCTTTCACACACACACATGAATGCACGCACGCATGCATGCATGCATGAATGCATGCACACATATGTTTCATAAATGTGCCACACAGGGGTTATTTATAGAAGCCTTCTGCTGAAACACAATAAATGTCACAGATAAAACATCATCAGCAAATCTCCAAGATAATAAACTCATCCTCCCTAACCCAAGAAAGTATAGACTAGTGACAAAAAACAAAAACAATCCTCCCACCCCCCAAAAAATCACCTTTGCAAAACTTTCCCTTTTTTTGCAAAACTTTCCCTTTCACTATCCCTTTGAGGTGATGGTGAGACCTTCACCTCACCATCACTCTAAGGAAACAAACAGCAATATCCCTTTTGCCCCACCTGGTTGGTGGGGCCAAGCAGAGCCTAATCTTCCAGTGGTCAGCAGCAGGCAATGCCCAACTGGATGGTGTAGGGAGAATGATTTGGAGGATCTCTAGGGTGATGCTGAGTCCCCCGATGTATTTGTCATTGGAATGTTGAACCTCCAACCCCCCCCTTGACAACAAGATGGGGCAGGGTAGAACCAGGTAGCTTTCTACTTCCCCTCGCTTCTCATGAGACTCAGTGGGGAGCTAAATGCCCACTTTCATCTGGCAGCAATGAGAGGGAGATGGTGAACCAAAGTAGTTGATACTCTATTTTTCTTTGACCCTTATGACAGTGAGGAATAGTGGAAAATTGAGCCTCTTAACCCTGATATCAATGGGGTACAGGAGGGACAGAGAGGCGGTACTAGCTGATGCTGTACCTAGTGACTAGATTGTAAAAGTCAGTGCTCCATTTAAGTGGAAACTAAGAGACTTGAATTCTGTATCACCTGTCTACCACAGGATGGTGTGACATAGTGCTGTAGGCAGATGGGGCAGGGAGGGGCTTCTGACATGGAGGGTGGCAGAATGCACATACTTACCTATTCCTTCCAACAGAGGACAGGAATGACCAATTAGGAGCATTTTCATATTCTGTACTGTATGACACACTTATACAAAATATTAAAAAAGGGAACTGGCACTAATGTATCACTAGCTTAGCACATACATACACACTGTTTATGGTCTGTTTGTTCCGAGGCCACTCTGTCCTAGGCCAAATGTTCCTAGAGGAGTACAAGATTGGTACCTGTAGCAACTAACTACAGCCATTATTTACTTAACCCCAGACATCCAAAAAATGAGGGAAGAATGAAAGAGGTGACAATGAGAGACATAAAATAATTTCAAAAATGTGGTCAACCACCTTAACCAGAATGGCAAGGCAGAGCTCCAAATGACTGACAGGCTCTGCCCCTCCCAACTACATAATCTTGGGGTAAAGATGTAATGGAAGACAGACCTTTAGACTATTAATCCCCCCCCCCCAGATTGCCAGTGTCTGATTAAAGTGAAGTTTTAAAATTCAGTTTCTGGGCTGGGTGGTGGTGCACGCCTTTAATCCCAGCACTCGGGAGGCAGAGGTAAGTAGATCTCTGTGAAGTCAGCTGGGTCTACAGAGCAAGTTTTAGGACAGCCAGAGCTACACCCAGAGAAACCATCTTGAAAACCAAACAAACAAAAAAGATTCAATTTCTGTCTTTTCTTGCTGGCTTTTGTGAGTTACAGGCACTTCGATCCATTTTTGCTTATACTGTGCTACACTTCAGTGAAAGAGACCTGCTTGAAATCATGATACATTGTCTCACAATATTTTTAATGTCCAAGATCCAATAGAAAATGTCATACAAAGAACTGGTAAAGTCCAAAATGGAATTTTAAAGGACAATCAACAGATGCCAAGACTGAGTTGAATCAGTTGGCCCAAACTCTCTAGGATGCTAAAGCAACCACTACAGCAGCATCAGAAGCAGACAGAAAAGGGAAAGCTCAGCTAAGGTACAGAAGTTACAAGAAGTAACCAAAAGGAAATTATAGGAATGATGAGTGTAGTAACCTAAGTAGAGTTAGGGTAACTGTATTATTAGTTAAACTATACAGAAGGCAGAGCTTTGAACTTGAGGTCAGGTCAATTGGATTGGTATGGTATGAACAACAGAGAGATGATCTAGAAAGAAAAGATTTTTAGGGACCCATGGCATAACTAAAGAACTAACTCTGTGTTACAGGGGTTACAGAAGGAGAAGAGAGAAAGCAGGGGCTAGGGCACAGTGTGAGAGCCGGGTAGGGATGCTGCAGAGGGCCGTTCTATGTCTTACTCACCATGGTGCTGTCAGACCTCATTATCTCTTTATTGTTCTCTTCATCTTTGGGGGCTTATTTTGTTAAACCAGGTCATCACTTATGTAAACATGAAGCACAAATCTTACAATAATGTGTATTGGGGGAGAGTAAACTCCAAGAGGATATTGACATGTCTACAGATGTCTACAGATATGTTAAGCCATGCAATACCAGAACTGCTGAGTGACAGCGTGCAGAGGATGTGGAATGACACTGGTGGATTCAGGCAACAGCTGCCTTTGAGGTTGGTAGGTGGGGAAAGACTGGGTGACATTTGTATTGCACCTGTTGAAATTCATTTCTGTGCAAAATAGAAAGCTGCTTGGAGCCAATATAGCAAACTACATAAAAATGAGAAATTGAGGTGGTACATGCATGTGTATACACCCTATTAAATTCTGTGAATAATATATCCATATATGAGGTATTTTATAGTTTGAAAGTTAAATTATCCTAAGGAGGGCATTCTCTTACTCTTCCAAATACTGAATCTGTGATATGTTGGAAGTAGTTAACAGAAACAAGTCACAGTTTGTTCTTGGGTATAATTCTGTTTTTCCAGGTTCATCTGTATCAGACTTACCATTGATAATGTTTTGTTTGGGAGTTTCTTCTGAGTCATGGTTTTGTCGGTACACATTTTCTCCAAGTGGCCTAGTCCTTGTGAGTTCCTGGGTTTTCTTCAGCTGTCTATTCTCTTGATTGTAGTGGAAATATGCAAGTAACAGAGTCCAGAGCCCGATGGCCATGGATCCACAGAGTAAACACTGAACCATGATATTCTTCATTGTGGATTCACATTTTTTTACATTCCAGTTTTTCCTAGACAAGATCGTTGTAAAGAGAAGCTGTATTAGATAACTCAGTGGTGTTTGAATTGTTCACATGGCTTACATTGTTTTCAGTGTTTTAAAAACAATCATTTTGATACTTTCCAAATACATAAAGTTTATATATTTTCTGTCACGAAAATTCTTCTCACATTATCTATAGGATCAACATCCAGTGGGTCAGTATGAAACAGGCAGCATAATTTAAAGTCTTTGCTTTACCCCTGAGCAGAGAGCTCAAGGAGAGGAGGAGATAACACGAAAGAGAATTATCCATCTCTTATCCCTGTCCAGCCTGCTTGGAGACATAGTGTAGCTCTCTAAAACTCTGACCAGACACCAGTCAGATGACATGTACAAGCATGCACTGTCGTATACTAAAGATAGGACAAGCAAGGCGTGAGCACTGTGGTCCAGCTGAGGGGACCATAAATGGACCCAGTGGTTTGGGTTCTAACCAGTGGTGGTGGGATATGAATGCCTACCCTAAATGTCTCCATAGTGACATTGGCATTCACAGTCAGAGGAGACTGGAGCTTTTCTCAGCACAACTACTGAAATGAGGCTGTCCTTAAGTGGTGAGGTGGATCACCTACAGCTGTCAGCAGCAGATTTTAAAGCCATAGTGATGAGCAGGAAGTGAGCAACGGGGACCAGGAACCTGGCAATCAGGAGGACCTGAGTTTGAATCTCCAGAACCCACATGAAAAGCCAAACAGAGCAGCATGTGCCTGTGACCCCAGTACTAAAGAACACAGGGAGACAGATCCCTGAAGCTCACTGGCCAGCTAGCCTAGACAAATTACTGAACTTAGGTTCAGTGAGAGACCCTGACTCAAAGGATAAATGAGGAAAGTATCAATGAAGAACACTTAGCATTGACCTCACGCCTCAACACACCTGTGCACTCACATGCATGTACACCTCCCAGGTAGACAGGGCGGGCAAGCAGGGTATAGTGTAATTTGCAGGGCCTGATGAGTAGTGTTCCTGCTTCTGGCCACTCAAATGCATCAGATTCCTGGGGAAACCTGTGAGCAGATGTGCACAGTGTCCAGGAGTTCCAGCCAGTCAGGAGGAAAATGCAGAGCCACTGGCTTCTTAGTGCTGGCTCCGGAAAAGCTCTGCAGCATGTGTGGCAGAGACTCGGACCAGTAGAGTCCAGTGATACACATGGAACATTTATGATGCCGTATATTAGGAGATTTCTTTCAATTGCAGTGGTCTCCATGCGTGTGTCTGCATTTTCCTTTTGACTCAACTGTGAATAAAAACAAAGCTAAACGCTCTGGTTAGAACAGGCTGGAGGCCATGAATGCAACTGAGCTTTTTTGTTGTTTTGTGTGTTTTGTTTTAGACATGGTCTCATGTAGCCCAGGATGACTTCAATCTCACTTTGTAGTCAAAGATGACCTTGAGCTTTTGATTCTCCTGAGTGCTGAGATGATCACGATATGGGTTACCATGACTGTTTTTTTTTTATGGTACTGGGACCAAACTCAGGGGTTTGTGTATGCTAGAAAAACAGTCTCTGAACAAAACCACATCCAGAGCCAATCACAGGAGATTTTAACAGTACTTTTCAAGATGAGGTTACTGGCCATGTGCTCACAATTTGGAAGTGGGAAATGAGGGACTATCAAGTAGAAACAAGTTGAGCTGCTATTGAGCAGCTCAGGGCTAGGAGTGAGCAGGGCTTCAGCAAGTCTACACATGTGTAATCAAAAGAGGGGTTCTCTTTACTCTCAGTGCACAGAAAAGCCCAGGCAGGGTAAATGAACTACAGAGGCACAGCCCACGGGAAAGCTGAGGGTGGAGTTGAGAGACATTTAAAACATCTGGGTGTGGGATTTAGGCACTACCCAGAGCCTTCAAGCCCACCACACCACACCACACCACACCACACCACACCACACCACACCACA